GGAACTGTCAAGGTTACCATGCCCGTGCTGACCCGTGGCCTGAATGACAAGAACGAGGAGGCTTGCAGTAGTGGCCAGAAGTTTGACGGCACCCCTCTTCCTTCGATGGCAGGTGAAGCGCACGTGCTGCCAGATTGTGGACAACATGTGCAAGCTGGTTGAGGATCCAGCGGAGGCCAGGGAGCAGAGCCCAAGGAGCTATCGTGAGGAGCCCAAATCTTGGAAGGTGCTGCCGCTGATGCCGAAGCTCGATCCTCTGGTGAAGAGCGCCACCCAAAAGATCTCCGACCCCGAAGCCCGAGGCTTCTGGCTTCGATATGTTCTGCATGTTTTGCAGAATGCCTGAGCCTTGCTGAGTCTTGTGGATCAGGCGTCGCAGAGAAGGCCTACAAGACCCTGCAGAAGGCTGCGGGAGAAGGCCCTTGCGCGTGCTTGCGCTCGCTCGCATTTGCTTGCTGTGGCACATCCCTGTCGCTTGGGTCGGCTGAGGTGCGGAGTCTCTGCAGCAGGTGAAGCTGGAGGATGCCAAGAAGCAGGTCTCTAGTGCCCTTGGCAGCGACGCAGGCTCCGGAGATGTCTTCGAAGCTGAGCTGACACACGTAGCTGCTCTGGCCGCCTGTGCCGCGAACATGCGCGTCTTTGACGAGGGCCTCTGGAAGAGTGACGTAGGCTACCTGGCGCCCTTCGACTCCGTGACCGAGGCCCTTCGCGCAAAGATGGAGATCGCCGCGAAGCCTAAGGAGGAGGTCGAGGAGGAGGACACCGAGGGTGTGGACTTGTACAAGGGTGCATTCTCCCTGGCCTACGGGACCCTGACCTTGCTGCGTGATGCAAAGATGCACTTGAAGCGCAATCGTTTCTACGGGCTCCTGGGACCCAACCAGTGCGGGAAGACGACGCTCATGCGCGCCATTGCCAACGAGCAGCTGGAGGCAGGGTGTAGCGAGGAAGCTCCCAATAGCATCCGATAGCCTTTTGAAGCTGTGACCTGAGGGCTTCCCCAAGCGAGATGAGCTGAAGAGTGTCTTCGTTGAGCATGAGAGCCTTGGAGTAGACTAGACGCCTCTTCTTACAGCATCTTGCAGTGCTCGTGTACCCCGGATCCGGATGTTTCCTTGCCAAGGAT